ATATTACAGTGAAATATGAATGCGATGCATACATCCTTTTATAACTGCCCGCCCTGCAAATCATCTAGGCGTATACATTCATGTATATGTACATGTAAAAAAAATAAATAAATAAATAAATAAATAAATATGTATATATATATATATATATATGCTGTATCTGGTTGGCGTGTGTGTTGCAGGATGTTTTTGGTGCCTCGTCCAAATTCTCCTCACGTGAATTTTATTTTATCTTTAGATAATGCGATGCGTCAAGGGCAAACATCTTACCCTTTTGTTGTTATGCAGTTTGATAGCGAGAATGTTACTTCTGTTGAAGTTAATCTAGAGGAAAATGAACTCAAAGAAAAGGGATTAGAGAAACAACTCGAAGGTATTTCTACTGAAATGAAAAAGGCAAAAGTTTCTTACTGTTTATATCAGCATTTGGTGTGGTGGTGATGGCGGTGGTGTTCTTGTTTTTATTTTTTTTTTTTCGTTCTTTTTGCTCTCATTCGCTTTCTTGTTCTTGTTCCTGTTGTTCTCCTTATTGCTCGTGTTTATGTCTTCGTCTATGTTCTTGTTATTTTTGTTTTTTTTCTTTTTCTTGTTGTTTCTGTTATCGTTTCCTACTTCGCCTTCCCTTTAAAACATTCACGTTTCAGGGTATGCGGAACTCAGTAGAGTAATGCGATATGCATTACGGTTCTTTCTGCTGCTGCTTCATATTTCTTGCTGTTGTTGGTGCCCTGAGTGTTTCTATTCTTAGTTCGTTAGTGGGTGTTTGATTTGTATTTGGGTTTATTTACGCGGCACCACTTGTTGTTCGTATACTTTTTCTGTGTTTCATTTCAGGGAAGACGTTTGACGTGATAACTCGCATTCTTAAATCGTTGATCGGGAAAAGTGTAATTGTTCCTGGAGATTTCAAGAGCGTCAAAAACCAATATGGGATTACTTGCAGCTACAGAGCACAGAGCGGCCATCTTTATCCTCTCAATCGTTCTTTCTTATTCATAGTGAAACCCGTTATTTTTGTCAGGTGCGTTTCTTGTGCTTCATTTGTTTGTGTATATTCGCGTAAACATGCATTTGCTGCATTCTTATGTATATACACTTGTATATTTTCGCATTTATTCTGTACGTATATTTGTGGGCATCCGCATTTCACTACACATGTACGGCATATATTTCCACATGATACCAGCAAATATTTACATTTATGCATAACCATAAGTTTTTTTACCGATGCTTAGCTCATTCCAGTTTTATCCTTGAAGCCTGCTTTTTCTTGGTCTACGTGTTTTTTCTCGACGAATCAAGTAGCGTCTTACTTTGGTTTGGTTTGTGGTTTTGTTGTTTTCTCAGATTCGAAGATGTGGTGAGCGTGGAGTTTAGCCGAACGGGTGCGAGCACCACCAACCGTTTCTTCGCTTTCACTGTTTCCTGCCGAGGGGGTGTTGAACACGAGTTTACTTCAATTGACCGCAACGAGTACACTGTAAGGGAGCAGCACGGTTTCCTTTGTTTGCTGCCAGTTCAAATCCAGCAACTTAAAGTCCGAATCCCTGAGTCAAGTGCCATCTACTGCAACAAAGCTCACTGAGGCGACTGGAGATATACACACAGTGAAGCATCTGTTGTCTTGCAGCTGGCAACGGTGGCTGTTGCTGTTGTGCACGGTATTTCGTTCGCGCTGTGTGTTCTGTTTGCACAGCCCCTGGTGGAGTTCTTGACGCAGAGGGGAATTCGCATTAAGAACGCCGAAAATTCAAACACGCAGAGAACAGGCGGACTGCAAGAAGAAGAAATACAAACCGACGAAGATGACGATGACTACGGCGGAGAGGAATCCGAAACAGGTACCTAAACCGTATGAGACCTCAGACCCTAACCCTAAACCCTAAACCCTAAACCCTAACCTCTACCAGAGCAGCAGCAGGAGGAAGGGAAGCATCCACAGCAGCAGCAGAAATATCGGGTTAAACAGTTGCATCATCGTAACAGGTGTTCGATAACGCCGTCTCCTATACTTAGCAGAATCCAATGGCTCACTGGATGCATCACAAAGATAACAAACCGTCCGGTGTGATATATATACGGCAAACAGAAAGAAATGAAGCTGATGTTAAAAGATATACTCAATGATTAGAACTACTGATGGTTCCTGAGATTCGTGTCATGCAGATGAAGACTTTGAAGACGAAGAGGACGATGAGGAAAGCGAGGAGAGCGCTGGGGAANTTCGTGTCATGCAGATGAAGACTTTGAAGACGAAGAGGACGATGAGGAAAGCGAGGAGAGCGCTGGGGAATCGAACGACGAAGAAGGCGAAAAGGCAAAAAAGAGGAAGCACAAACACAAGGTGAGGAGGGCAGCATAGCCAGCAGCATTTCCTCTGTTCTCAGTACTCCCCTTCTTCCCCACAGTTGAGCATTCGCAACATGCGTTCTCCACTATATTAAACCTGAAAGTAAAGACCAACCACTTTTACCTTCAGCTTGCCTTGAAATGCTGAAAAGGCGTTCCCGCGCTGTCGTGCGAATATTTTTGCTGTGTTTCGTGAGCCGTTACCCAGCAGTTACTTGTGGGTGGAAGTGCATAGGGTGCATTTTTGATGTATGTCTGTTTGAACAGAAGGAGAAGAAGGAGAAGAAGAAGCACAAAAAGTAGATGCTAGGGACAAGGGGGAGGCAGCTGTCATCGCCTCCTTTCGACAGTGTTGCAGACAGTTGACTGTCTTCAGTTGTGGACCCTTTGAAACTATCATTGCTTCAACAGGAAGTCGTTTAAACCTCGTTTGGGGTTTTTGCAGTGCTGAACAGCAACTCAAAGTAACCCTAAAAACAAACAT